TGCGAAAGTTTAGATGTATGTTTGTTAGAGTTTGTAGCCTAAACGGCTGAACGGATCTCGATGAAATTTGGTTTAGATGTAGAGGATAGTCTGTTGTTTTTTTTTTTTAACGCCAACACAGTGGTAGGAGAAAGCTAGTAAGTACATAATACAACTTATGGAGGCTAAATCTAAATTAAACGATTGTGAAGCAATTATAATTACAACTTGCTATTTTATGACGTAAAAATTAATTAACTATCCACAAATAACTCCTAATTAAAACTAGATTTATTAATCTGTACTTAATGACGAATTGAAATATTTTTTTAAAAACAATTTGTTCCATTGGCTGTTTTTAATAAACTGAAATACACTTCAATCAATATGGCGTCAAATTCTCTCCATGCAAACTCACCCATTCGTTTCAATCCCGTAATAGCTGAGGCAATATTACCTACAATATTGCTAACGTATAAAGGGTGCGTTGACAGGTAATATTTTATATTTACCAGATTCGTCTTAGACGTCTCATAAACTCATATTTTGCTAATATATTACTAGTAAAAGTGAATTTATTAACCTTTTCCATAAAAGAATTAGTTATTATTCGACGAATTAACAAATATGGAGTTACAAAAAGTCGTTTTATAAAATAAAAATAATAAATATTACCTAAGACATTTGGATGTCGCGTCATAAAATCCTCTTTAGCCTGAATAACTTCCACTCTAGTCTGAATGTCAATTGGTTCTTCGAGCAAATTAAACACCACAGCACCCAACATCAAGAACAGCACGTAAAAGAAGATATAAGGCACTAACAAGCACGTCGATCTGGCTTCTCCGAACATTCTAGATGTGACTAGAAGCGGTTGGAACGGTGGGTTCTCCTCTTCGTAGAGAACCTCACGTTCAACCACCATCTTCTTTTGGTAGGGGAACAGTCTACTGTGGACTGTCATATCATCTTCGCTTGGAGACGTAGTCATACTTCCGTACGACTGAATTCGAGCATACTTGGGGTTATCCATTTTAGTACTTTATTTTTTATGACACTTAAAATGTCTGCATCAATCACAGAACATAGAAACTACAGAGAGGACATTTCTAAAATTTAAATAGTTCTAACGTTAAGCAATAATACATTGATTTTGCGATCATTAGCTGTATTTAAAGAATCTCTTGGGATTATTCCGATCACAGACCAATGAAAAAAGATCACTATTATCACGCGACATGTTTCATATTAGATATAAATTTTATTATAGTACAAGTAACATATTTCTTAACACCACTGACCCTTTCCGAGTCCAAAATACGACTACATTATGAACACACACAGCCACGCGATTCACTTGTTGTCGAAACTTGTTTGTTGCCTTCTCGGTTTATTTTTATCAAACCTACCTTGTCTACCTTGCTCCAAAAGCCGTTATAGGGCTTAATTGGGCTCCCACACATATAAAGATACGTACAACAATGTTGTGCAACCGTTAATGAATTTACCGTAGGTTAGGTTAGTTTAATCATAACAAATCTACAAAGGAACCGAGATCTAAGAAAATGGATAGATATGTTTTTTTCGTACACCTTTATTATGTTTTGACTAAATAAAAACAAATATATCTCACGTATTACACGTTATTTACAATCCCCAAAGTCCTATGGACCCTGTAGTCTGTTTATTCTCATTTTATTTGTAGTAATTTCACACCTCAACTTTCTAAACGGTTGGATAGGGAGGTCGTTGACCTAACAGTTAGTTACGCCGTATTCAATTAGACGGCTAATGTATTACATTCAATTAGCCTCGGCAAAGTTCAAATAATATACTTTCAGGGCAATGTTTCATGAAATGATCGATAAACTGTCACAAAATAAAATAATTTATATCAGTTTTAAAAAATGTTTCAGTGATTTGGCTAATTATTATTGACAGGCGTTTCCAGATTATTAATCTTGATATGATTTTTACACGAAGAAATTACAAAGATAAGGATCTAAATGCTTATTAACGCGAAAAAAACCGAAAGGTAACACTTGAGGAAGCTTGAAAATGCCTTTAGAAGATCGTTAGATGTGATAAGTCTTGTAATACCACTTAAAAAGATCTAATTACAGTATAAGTTTCATTACCCCAATCTTGCTATAAGAACATGAACTCAAGATAAAAATGTAAATGCGATAAAACAAGCCAAATACCAAAGGTCGACAGTTTATTTTTTCTGTAAATTTGGTTTAAGTAAATATAATTAAAAAGCTTGTTTGTATACTTTTAAAATAAAATGCATTTAGGTAATTACCAAAAAACGACGGATAATGCGATAAAAGTATTTGCCATAGAAATATTTATTTCCCTCAAAATAAGGCGACTTGTTAATTAATTTACTATTAATTAGTACTATCATAAAATTCGTACTAAATAAAGACAAAAACAACTTAATTATTTTAAAGCTTAATCAGTATTAATTTCGTAATTTTCAACTGACACATTATTTGGCGCGAAAATGAAACAATGAAATAAAGCAGCACAGATTATAGTGAACGTTTCGGCGCTTAATTAATTGTGAGTGAAATTAATTAAGATCGATACACACTGTTGTTTTTGTATTTGTGATTTAAAAATTTGAACTTTATTTATAACTAGCTTTCGCCTGCGAATTCCACGTGAAAATTTTTAGTCCCTTTCTCTTTACCACCTTTTTCTCACAAGAAGAGGATGGGAAGAGGAAGTGGATTTGACGGTGGAGGATATGCGCAGGAAGAGGAAATATCCTCTTTATGTGCGTCTCCTCCTCCGTCGGATAAGGGTAGGCAACGCATCTGCAATTGCGGATGTCTATAAGCAGCGGTCGCTTCGCCATTTTGGTGGATTGAGGTGGCCGCTTGCTCGTTTGTCACCTTATGATATAAAAAAAACAAAAAAAAAAACAAAAGCGATTATTCTATGTGTTCTTCCAGATTATCCTCTACATCTATGCCAAATTCCATCGAAATCCGATCAGCCGTTTATGCTACAAACTCTAACAAACATCCATCCATCTAAACTTTCGCATTTATAATATTAGTAAGTAAAGTAATATAATAATGTTTTTAGACAGTAGTAATTTTAGTCTACCCTAAATTTAAACAAAATAAATGGCTATAAGATATTTTGTTCATTATAATATTTGTTTTGTTAAGTACATAATATGTTCACGATTGTATATACGTAATCATTACGCCATATTGTCTAACGCGGCTGATACCAGAGTAGCTACAATGCAACAATTAATGTTTTGTTATTCCTTTGTTGATAAAAAAATATTTCATTACACAGTTCACTTTCCGTTCATATCAATAAACTAACGAATCCATATCGTTGGAAAATCAAAAATATAAAAGTTTAGCATTTAGATAATACTGATCTTATATGATGTTTGTGAATATTATAAAAAAATCACAAACAAATAAAGGCAATATCAGCCCAGATTATCGCGATGAATAACAAACAATTCAAGATAACGTACTTACCTAAAACGGTCGGGTTGCGGGCTATGAAGTCCTCTTTGGCGCGAAACACGCTCACACGAATATCGTTCTCGAAGGGCAGTTCTAATGCAGAAAATACTATAGCTCCCGCGATCAGATATAGAACATAGAAGCAAAGGTACAGCGCCATAAGACAAGTGAATCTCGCCTTCCCGAAGATTCTAGTAGTCGCAAACAGCGGCTGGAATGGTGGATGTTCCTCTTCGTACAGAATCTCTCTCTCGACCACCATCTTCTTAGGGTATGGGAACAATTGGCTATGCACAGTCATGTCGTCATCGCTCCTCGATGACGTCATACTCCCGTACGACTGGATACGAGTGTATTTCGGCTTCTCCAACATTTTGTAAAACTTTTTAGCGATTTTATAAATTAAAGGTTGTTGAAATTAATAACACTTTGAGGGTATAAATTGCAGTGAATAGCGAGTCGATTAAGAAAACATAATTAATGGAATAAACACGTGGAAAAGTTCAAAAGTTCGATAACACTTTCCGTTAGCAGATCGTTGTATTGAGACCTCAACGGAGATGGGTTTCGGTCAACTGTACTTGAAGAATCTCTTGGGATGATTCGGCTCGAAGAACAGCGCGGCCACTTCGGATGTGTTGATGTGGTCACGAAGCGACATTATGATGCATTGTATAAATGAGGTAAAGAGATTTGTGACAATCTGCCTTTTCACCAGCGACGTGTGATGCGCTGGACACCCGACACACAACTGGAGTGGTTAGAAACTTGACGGTAGCCGATAAAAGAATATCAATAAGGGTGTGACTACACTGTGCAAATAACTAACGTGACTCATTAAAGCGTTGTATTGAGAATACTCAATAAATAAATAAGATATATTTATAAAAACATTTTTATATTTTAAACTATTCCTTCTCCAATATTCTTTATTAATGTGACATCTGATTTTTAAATAATTTTTTTGCGTTCTCATACTGTAGGCAAATTCGATCACATTAAAATATTAGCTAAGTTCTTATTCATTACAAATTACAAGAAAATTAACAACATTTTAAACACATTTCTCATGTATGTTACCCTCGAATTCCAATGCAATTTCACTTGTACAATTATCATTCGAAGACGTTTTTTGTCCCGTGTCCGTTACAAAAACGGTTCATGTGTATGTACCTTTATAAATAAATCTACCGGTTTTGCGATAACATTGTTTATAACTGATCCACTTAGTAATTACTGAAATCGATACTGTCATCTAATTTATTACAATTACCCTCATAATACGTAAGATTTGTGCTTATTACAAATATTATTTGATGTAATTAGTAACATTTATTGCTTATGTATACTATGTAAGCTAGGGGAAAACCAAATAAAATACGAGTAACAGGAAATTTCGCTGAACTTTTACTGTCCGTTCTTTTTAGAGGTTTATTTCTCTTGTATACAATTTAAGATGTAAGTTGATCGAGGTCTGTAATTGTTCAAATTAAGTGTCATAAAGAATTACTTAGTTTGAAATCTCGCTTTTCAGGTTAGCCTAAGGTTAAGTTATGTTGTTTATTATAATTACTAAATTAGGATTGAGGAAATATTGCTACATTTTCACTTATAAATATAGTTTCCTTTCGAATGTCAATGAAATAAATAAAAAATGAATCATACTTCATACAAAAATTATACGTGGAAAAGTCTGGTTGGATGCATGTTTGTTACTACGTCTCCAAAACGGCTTGGTACGAAAGTAGAACATTGTATAGAAGATCACATACGATACAAGTTCTTAATTCCACGCACGAAATCGCGGGTAAAAGTTAGTAATTTTTTTTCTAACGAAATGGTTTTATTTAGATAATAAAATTACGTTTAATTACTTGGCTATTATTGCTGTGATTATTAGAAAATGTTTTATTATTTTGATTTATTTTAGATAAATAAAAAACATCCTTTTATTTTTGTGTTAAAATTTGTGATGAAACTTCTGTGTCCATTCAAAATAGATTAACTTTGAATAGCGTTCGTTCAATTTTCAGCTTTATGGCATTCAAAATAACCTCTTATTTGTTGATTAGTTAAAACACACACAATTGTTGAGATATTAAAACCAATTAGGAATAGTATCATTTGCTCGTGAGAAGTGTAAACAGAAATATCGACAAAGACGTAATGTCTTATTGTTTAAATACCAAACAAAAAATCTATCACTATGCTAAGAAACGCCTGGGATAAAGGTCGAATATCATGAAATGGTTCTATTATCAAAATTCATTATTTATTATGTCAAGTTAATTTGTACTTTATTACTATATTAATATGATAAAAAATTCAAAGTCCTTAATGAAAATAATCTGTTTTTTCATAGAAAATGACAACATTTGAGGGTACGAACTGACCTCAAACGAATATATGGGAGACTTGATTTAATTATTTACTATTTTACAGTTAGTCTCTTACCTGACACGCATGGATGATTGTTGAGAAACTCAATCTTTGTTTTTTCCATATGATCTTCCATTTCGCGTTCTAATGGTCTTTCAATAGCCTGGAACACCGAAGCGCCTGACGACAAAAAAGGTTGTTTTAAAAAAATAAAATACTTAAGGAACCGACTTTCCTATTAATACAAATTTCTGTTAAAACCCGCATCAAATAAAAACCAGCGTAAACTATATGTATTCTCAAATTAATTGCGATATTGTTACAAAAGTCATTTCGTAACCGTAGATTCAATAACGCCTGAGGAATTAAAGCCGCCCACGATTTGTCCAACATAATTGTCGATGAAATTCGACAGGCGCTTTTACGTAGGTCGTGAAATGGAACAATGGAAAATAAATTAAATATAGAGTTATTTATAAACCTTAGTGTGGGCGCTTTTACCTTGATAATATTAAATTATATTCGTATGTTATTTGATACGGTTAACAATAGCTATTCAAATTATATAACGTAATAAATCTCAATACGAAATTATGATTTATTCTACAATCATATATTCTTAAAATAGAATTAAATAAGGCATTTTTTTAAACTATCTAAACATTTTCATGTGAACCATAGTCGCACTTAAAAAAAAAATTCTTTTAAAAACATTTTTTCTTTTGCGTAAAATGTTTAACACGGATTAGCAGACTTAAGAGTTCTCCAAGAATGTTTAAAAGCCGCTTGAAAAACTGAACTATATGAATTCTTAAGAAATATTTCTGTATTTATTCTCTTATTAAAACCGTTGCGGCTTATCGTACTTGCGCCTATAAATAAACGTTTTATTTCGAAGTATCATAGTTATTGTTTCGTGTGTAGATGACGGTGAGACTTTAAATAGCGCTCTCACCTGTTAATAAACTATCGCACAACTGTTTAATCGCGGTCTGATTTCTATAAGCTTATATGTAGGTGCGGACACTACTTGTTTTTTAGTTGCGCAACAAAACAGTTGAACCAATCAAAACAATCGACAATCGCACAATAGTGGTGCGATAGTCAAAGATGTGCGTCAGTTCTAAAGTTGTTTTTTAACATACCCATAGACAAGTAGAGCGCCATGATGCCAATGATCACCAGCAGCCGTATGTACGGCACGGCGCGAGGGTCGCTGCAGCAGCCTGGCACAATCAGTCTCATTTCTGTCGACAAACAACATAGCTATTTTATTTTAATAACTAGCTATCGCCCGCCACTCCGTCCGCGTGGAATTAAAAAAAAACAAAAGCCTATGTGTTCTTTTAGACTGTCCTCTATATCAACACCAAATTTCATCGAAATCCGTTCGGCCGTTTAGGCTACAAACTCTAACAAACATCCATCCATGCATCTAAACTTTCGCATTTTGATGTAATATTATATTATACACACACATATTATACACAAGGTCGTTGTCGACGGTGCATGCTCTGACCCGAAACCAATTAACGCTGGCGTCCCACAGGGCTGTGTACTGTCGCCTACCCTGTTTCTTC